AGGATACGAAATAACGAAGGAAAGATGAAAATTGTATGAAAATTGATTAAAAGTTTTGTTTGGTGTTGAGATTGGTATTTTATTAACTTCCCATAGGGTTGTTATAGTGATGGGCCGAAAATCGAAAATGAAAATTTTTGCATTTTTCGACGTTTTGAAGGTTTCTGAACATTTTACTGACATACCCTTTTTAGAACCCCTTTTTCTAAATCTAATTTTAATTTGCTTGTCAGTAGAGTCCCTTTCTCTAAATCTAATTTTAATTTGCTTGTCAGTAGAGTTCCTTTTTATTAAAGTTTACTTTGTTCTTTAATTTACTGCCCAGTAGAGTCCTTTTTTATCATTATTAACTTCCCGTAAGATAAGTTACAGTAATTGAAAAAAAAAAACAAAATTGAAAACTTTTGCATTCCTTCACGTTTTAAAGGTTTCTGAACATTTTAAGGCATACCTCAAAAACTAAATCGATGTGTGTGATTTGTATGTCCGTATATTTAGTATTAAAAAATGGACTCTACTGACGAGCAAACTAATCTAGAATTAAAAAAGGGACTCTACTGACGAGCAAACTAATCTAATATTAAAAATGGGACTCTACTGACGAGCAAAATCTAGAATTAAAAAGGGACTCTGCTGACAAGCAAACTTAATCTAGAATTAAAAATGGATTCTACTGACGAGCAAAAGTTAAAATATATAAAAGGGGACTTTACTGACGAGCAGACGAGTAGTTCAGTTTGCTTGTCAGTTTATATAATGCAAAATATAGTTTGTCAGTAGAGTCCTTTTTATTTTCATGTCTGGTAAAATACAGTTGATGATGAAAAATACTAAATTCAAAAATTCGAAAAATACCCAGGCTAAGCGCAGTCTAAGCGCCATTCTGTACAAATGTTTTCGCAAGTGCGTTTAGACTGTTTATGTTGGTGCAATTTCCAATTTTGTGAAAATTATTGAAAAATGTGAAAATGCCGCCAAGCTAAGCACAGTATAAGTGAAAATGTCGCACAGAATTATTAGCAAATGCGTTCAGTTTTGTGTAAATTTGGCAACTATTTTTTTTTTTTAAATTGAATTTGAAATGAAATGACGATTGTTAATGTTCTGGAGATGATAATTGATTTATTTATAATTAACTTTCCGTAGGGTAAGTCATAGTAATCGCAAAAAAATCGAAAATGAAAATTTTTATATATCTTTATTACGTTTCAAAGGTTTCTGAATATGTTGGCATACCTTAGAGAAATTGATGTATGTGTGTGTGTGCGTACATGTGTGTGTGTTCGGATACAAATTTTCGTCGACGATTTCGGGAACACGGATGAAGCAATTTGAATAATTCAAAAAGCATTCGATTCGTATTGATAAGGAGACGTGCCGATTAGTTTTTGTCAAGCGCAGGTCTAGCCGTTCCGAAGATACGGGGCAAAAAGTGCCAAAAACGGTAACTCAGTTTTTAAGAGAACGGAGCATCCGATTTGAATAATTCAAAAAACATTTTGCTTGTATTGACAAGATGAAGAATCGATAAAATTTTCATGATGGTAGGTCTAACGGTTTCGGAGATATGGAGGAAAAAGTAAAAAAATGAGCCATTTGGCGGTCAAAAATGATCATTAGACATATGCACATCAAATTATCAGATATTTTATAGAGATTTTAATAATAAGTATAAATTTTGTTTACATTCCTAAGGGTTCCGTACCAGTATTTAGCCGTTAGACGACGACGCGGCGCTTAGATATTTAGTCTCTAAGCATTTAAAGCAGTACGATTGCTTTGAAAAAAAGTTCAGAATTTCCAAAAAATTTAAAATAAATTTTTCAACAAAAAGTACGTTTTTGTCAAAAATCTATTTTTTCAGAGTAAATTTTTTTCAAAAATGTTAATCTTTTCAAAAAAAAAATAATTTTTGGTACGGGAAGTTCCAGCAATTTGCCTTAAGGCACGATGCCATGCGCCCCACTAGTTTTATGTTTATTCTCTGCATCAAAGTTTTCTCCTAAAATCTAAACTAATTTTGAAACTTAAAATGTATTGTACAAATCACATTGATTAGTTTTTAATGTAAAGCAAAAACTTTATTATGAAATAAATTTGATTAACAAAATTTTTGCTTTATTTCAGTTAAATTGCTATGTACAAGTATCATATATATATATATATATATATTATATATATATATATTTTATATATAAATATATTTAATTATTTTGCATCAACGTAGCTTGTATATGTGCTGCAATAACCTCTTGAGGATTCTTTTTGAATTCAGGATGATCCATCAGTCGTTTGAATAAATTTTTATCAGCTTTATTTTGTTTTGTTTTTGCCTGTATATGTTTCTGTATTGCTTTTTGTTTGGGTGCATTTAAATTTTAGTAACTGGTGCATCTTTTGGCTTCAATAAACTTTAAACTTGGAAGAGCATCGTGCAGCTCAACTAAATTACCTAAAAATATACAAACAGATAAGTAAAATATATACATAAATATATATTATACATATATATATATATATATATAT